TCGTACACCATCATTTAAACTAAATTGTATGTACTCATTTACCTGTATATATATGGGGTATCGCAATAAAATACCGCTAAACTATGAAGGTAGTTCAACAGGCTCAGACGTTGCCCATAAGCAACTTAGATTTTAATACTGAAAAAACTTTAAGTAAACATGGAAAATTATTACCTAATTCATTTCGTGCTATTATATGTGGACCTAGCGGTTGTGGGAAAACGAACGCAATGATGGCGCTTCTCTACGATCCGAATGGTGCTAAATTCAAAAATGTTTACGTTTATTCAAAGTCATTGTACCAACCTAAGTACCAGTTGCTTGAAGAAGTTTTAGCTGGTATGAAGGAGGTGGGTTACTTTCCTTTTAAAGACAATGAAGAAATTTTGAGCCCCCACGATGCTAAACCTAATTCAATTTTTATATTTGATGATGTAGCGTGCGATGGACAGCAGAAAATTCGCGAATATTACTCCATGTGTCGACACAAAGACATTGATGCTGCTTATCTCTGTCAAACATATACAAAAGTCCCGAAGCAGATGGTGCGTGACAACTGCAACATAATAGTGTTATTTAAACAGGATGAAATTAACCTGAAACATATATTCGATGAACATGTCTCGCCCGACATGTCCTTTGATGGTTTCAAAAAGATGTGTTGCAAATGCTGGAACGATAGATATGGTACTCTTGTAATTGCAAAAGAATTTAATCTCAATGATGGAAGATATCGTAAAGGTTTCGATAAATATATAAAAATATAGATATCATACGTCACTCATTATTAAGCAAGATGTCGATGGATGCGGTACGCAAACGAAAAATTACAGAACTTAGACGTTCCATTCGAAAAAAGTATCTAGCTCTAAAATTAGGTAGAGCGGAGGAAGATGAATCTATTAATAGGTTATTTAAACCAATTGCTGAACCTTTAAAAGAGATTGCAGTCTTCACCTCGATAAACAAAAAAATGAACTATGTTAAGAAAGAACCTTTCGAAATAAAAAAAGAGGAAAACGATTCCACTGCAGATGATGATGAAGTTTTTATTGATGCTGAATCAGAGTCTAGCGATCAGTTCAACGAGCGGTATCCAGTTATATCTTGGCCATTTATTAAGGATTACTTGATATATAGTAATAAAATAGATACAATTTATGGACCCACTTATGATCCTCCCACTGCAAAATGGTATTTAGGAACAAAAGAAATTAACTTTGATAAAAAAAGTGGAAATATTAAGCTACAAGGGCAGCAAATACGAGGAACATCTGGACTATACGAACTAATTTTTTATGATGAACCTGTAGATTATACTAAAGATGATTTAGATTCATATCAAGAAATATTAAAATTAACTGATCGTTATATCATGAATAATGGCAGATTAAAAGGAAATTCAAAGTCAAAATACAGAGATATTATTAAACCGCTTATTAATAAAATACGTCAAACAACGGAACAAGTTTCAGCAAGAGGTAGCAGTCTCACATATAACGAAAAACCCATTGAATATGTGTATTGGGATAATCCGAACAAACTTTGCGAAAGATTAAAGCTATTGATGGCTTCAAAGGATGCTGGAAATACTTCGGTAGACAATGAAATCGTTAGCATAATCAACCAACTTCGAGAATCAGATATCATATATTAGAGTAAATTAAATTTTATTATCATTTTCATCATGAGTCTTGATAAGTTTGGTCGTAGAAAAAGTTCTAAGTTAGTCGAACCGCTTTTTAAATTGGCCCATTTGGAAAACCGATTAAAAATTGCTGACATAAACAAAGTGACCCTTGACAAGTTAAATGATACCATAAACATTATTGATGGTAAAACGAGAGATCTTCAAACATTTACATCGAGAGATCCGCCCACAGCGAGCAATCATATGGTAACAAAGAAATACGTAGATGATGCTATTAAACAAATTAACGATGGATTATCTGTAGAAATACAAAAAATTAAAGCTATGTTTAAAATAGGTAATGCTGACATTAGAAGTGATCTTTTGAACGTGATGCAACAAGTATCAACACATCCCAAAGATCTTGAAAGTATTAACAATAAAATCGTTAAATTATATGAAAGATATTAAAACACCTTATATAAAATTATTGCTAAAATAGATCTACATGCAAGTCAGTAAAATCTTAAATCTATCCTTAATAATATTAATTCATGGAATTTTTGGATAAAAACCTCTATGCTTTGGAAGTACGTTTAAATACACCATAAAACATTATATCTTTTATTTAACACTATGGCTCCGTCTAAGCTTCAGCTCGTCAACGAGTTACATAAACCTGCTCGTATAAACTATCCTAGACGTCGTACGATTATTAAAGGGTTGGATGATTTATGGCAAATCGATTTAGCTGAAATGCGTAATTATGCACATCAAAATAAAAATTTCAAAATGATAATGCTTATCATCGATACATTCTCGAAATTTGTATGGACATGTCCACTTAAAACAAAGACAGGTGAAGAAATAACCAAAGCTTTTACCGATATTCTCACTCATACAAAAAGAATACCGAGAAATCTGCAAACAGATCAAGGTACCGAATTTTTCAACAAAAATTTTCAAAATTTGATGAAGCAACATAATATTAATCATTATCATACATATAGCGTTAAAAAAGCTGCAATTGCTGAAAGAGCGATAAGAACGCTAAAGAATAAACTTTATAAATATTTCAGTCTAAATGGTAAGTACAAATGGCTCGACGCTTTACCTAACCTAACAAAAGAATATAATGAAACAAAACATAGAACGATTGGATGCAAGCCTATACAGGTAAACAAGACGATTGAAAAAGATATTTTAAAACAAAAATATAGTCATTTGAAAATTGCTGGACCTCGAAAACTTAAAGTTGGTGATATTGTACGTATCAGTAAAGCTAAACACGTTTTTGAGAAAGGTTATACACCCAATTGGACCACAGAATTATTTAAAATAACAAAATGTAAGATAACCAATCCTGCTACGTATCTTCTTGAGGATATGGAAGGTGCACCAATTAAAGGAGCATTCTATGAAGAAGAATTACAGAAAACTGTAAACCCTCACATCTACTTAGTGGAAAAGGTACTTCGCCGTAAAGGTAATAAAATGCATGTTAAATGGTTAGGACTAAAAGGTAATAGTTGGATTAAAACTGGCGATTTTGTATAGGTTCTTATGCAAATACAAACAAATTTGATAGATTTAGAGACCTTTTTGAACAATCAGTTGCTAGAATCTATCAAATTTTAAAGTAGGAGCTATAAATATGAGTAGCATTGCAAGTATTATCATCAGTAATCATGTGTAGCCAAGACAGTGATATCGAAGTAATCGTTGAGAGTGACATGTCTGATAGTGAGATGGGAGATATTGATTGTGAACTTGATCAATTTTTGAAAAAACGCAAACACGTTGATGATGAAGATCAATTTTTGAAAAAAAGCAGACACTTTGATGATGTTAACCCCTCTGAAGAACTTGACAAAATTCTGCAATCGTATGAGGATGCCGCAAAACGTGAAACACATTACCTGCTCCAAGTGACTTATATATTGTCAGGGTACGAAGTTCGATGTGGTATAAGCCCTGCGAGATCGTTTACTCCAGCAATCATTTTGGCTCAAAATTTAAGGTCTAGTAAAATATCTTTTGATACTTTCGAATGGTCAACGCTTATCGATATTCTCAAACAAAAGATAGATGATTTTTTCCATGAAGATTTACCTACATATCCAGACGAGTATGATCCTATAACATTTTCATGTGGTGATTATTGTACTATCAGACAACTGGTTTATGATGATATCAAATTCCTGGTTGTAAAGAAACATGATGTCGAATACTATTTGTGCGAAGACGAAGTTCACGAAATTCTTGAAACCAACAAATATTTAGTGTTAAATCGAGTATCTTTATTAGAAGAACTTAATTTCTGTTTATATTATCATAATATTATTGATTTTTGTAAATCATATGATGATTCCTTACAAATGTTATGTTCAATGCGTGAAATACTTCCAAATGATTTGTTAAACAATGCATTGAGAGAGTATATCTACTTTTATAAAATTTCTATAATTTTTTAAAAAGACTGTTTTATTCTGACCCTCACTCAAATAAAACCAAAAAATGGTTAAACATATTTTATATTTTTTAGGAAAATAAAAAAATCAGGTTACGATTACATAAATTAAAATTATAAATATTAAAAAATAAAAGCAGTTACATGAAGTAGGTTAATTTTTTAATTATAAAAATGATACATTAAATTTTATCTCAAAGAATTATCTTAGTTTTAATATATAGACATATTTGTAAAAAGAATGAGCAGTTAAGAAATATGTATGTAGGAACAAATGTTAAGTTTTTATCAGGTGCCTGTAATTTACTATTTTCCACAAACGCTGCAAACTATTTCATCTACTGCTTGAGACTGGTATATTACTAATTTAATCTTAGCCATCTTCAAATCTAAAACAAAATTATTTTAAACTATAATGCCCCCATGGTAGTGTCTCAAAAGATTTAGGAATTAAAAACCTTTTGTCATCCTTAGGACTTAAAACAATTTTTGACTGTTCTATGCTATATACTTGGTGAGCGTAGGAACGAATTGTACATTGAGTCATACATTTTTCTTTTGACGCTTCTAAACACTCTACATAATCCTCAAAAGTTATTTTATTTTTAATTACGTTATACCTAACTCCTTTGGATTTTTTAGTAGCTTTCTTAACCCCCTGAATTTTATAGGCATACATTTTTGATCGCAACCCTGCAAAATGTGTAATTATTTTACCGTTAGCTTCGTCTTTCATTAGTCCTGGTATTTTTTTGTTTACTAACGGTATACCGTATTGGTTATCACGATTATAATCAGATGTATCAAATTTTTCGATATGAGTATCAATAATGTCTTTGTAAGCATCATCACACTTTATTTCATAGATGAAACTATCCGTATCCGTATACATTATCTTACAATTTTCCACCCCTAGAGTTGGAAGCATAAAATTGTAATGAAAGTTGTACATACAAGTTTTCGAAATATCTAGAATAGTCATTCCAATATATAGAGGTTTATTGAAAACTAGTTGAGTCTTTTTTAGTTCAATAGCCATCAAATCTTCGTCGAAAATTGTTCTGTTGTGAAATCTTGGGCTAGAAATTAAATTTTTGGCTCCGTAACGTCCCTCATATGAATTTACTAGCTTCACTGTCCTGTGAAATCGTATATTTTCCATAGTCTTGCCAAACACTGCGTTATTTGCAAGTTTAAACTGGTTCTTTGCAAAACAACTGGTAGCTGCAGCCCTCAAACGAGTGTTAAGCTCGATATAAGGCTTTAGCCACGCAGATTGCTTAAATTTTAACACTTTATGTATTTTTGTCAATTTTAAACCATGCGCCAAAGCTTGCTTCAAATTTCGGTAATGTAGAATGTATTTTTCTTTATTATATAATGTTGACATTAATTTAGTCAATGTTGAACCTGGTGGGACGCTGTGTTCAGCACAAAACGGAAAATCTTTATGTAAATCATGAATTCCTTCAGGATACTCTAAATCGACTTGTAAAACATACCCTTCCTGAGCATCGTTAGGGATTTGGGTGACATCTATGTTGGTATCTACCCATTCAAACCCGTCGTATGGTAGAAACTGAGACATGGCCCATCCATACAAATTATTTACATCGAGGTAAAATAGATACTTTGTAGACTTTGTAGGATCGTATGTCTCCATATATCGATTATTAGCTTCAGAATATCGGTTACAGCAAACCGATATTCCGCCTCTAATGCCTTCTTCAATAAACATTACCATATCAACATCTTTCAAAATTCTTAATTTACATTTAGTGTACTTTAGCATACAATCCCATGTATACCCAGGCATTGTGTAATACCATGCAGGGTCTAAGCCATACGTGTTCAAAGCAGTTTCCCTGAAATTTTCCATAACGTCCGCAAGAAGAAGGATATCTGTGCGCATGTATAAATCACTATATTCACCTAAGTTTTTAATTGTAAACGATTGCCAAACGTTTCGCGCATTAGCATACCTCTCATCGCTAATATGCTCATCACATAATCTATTGTAAAATTGCTCTTTAGATGGCAATTGAGTATCATTTAATTTATTCAAGTTGCTGATGTAATCGTAAGGAAAAACACCTTTCTTAGTTAATAATTTAAAATTTTCTTCATTTAAATCGTTAAATTCTTTTTTTAAATTTTGCAAGTTTTCAACCGTTAAAGTGTTTACCAATTCGTCAAGACTAGCCCCCATAAATCTATATGAATCTATAAATCTAAATTTTATATTGGTTTCTGAATCGTATTGTGTAAACGAAATGTATTTTTCCATATTTATGGGGAGTATGCTTATACGCCCACGTTTAGCAATATCTTTTATGATAAAATGGCTATCATAACCTGTAAGGTTGTGAAATGCTATAGGTACCACAAACAATTTTCTAAAGTTCAGATTGCATGCCTGGTGGGCGCTTCCTCTTAATACACCGTTAAAGTGATCATGGTCAAGTACGATGACGTCTTTATTACTAAAATGTTTTTCACAAATATGACATATTTTAGCTTTAACTATATCCAGTTCAACAACCATTGGAATAATATTTTTAATTTTTGACTCGATAAAACTAGCTAAATTCGATAATTGGTTTGCAAACCATTGCATACAATCACTTCCTCTGTAGCTATTAAAATAAGAAAGACTATCATCATAGGAACATTTTAGGTAATAGCCTGCACTAAAAGCATGATGTTTTTGGTATTTAACAGTTTTTTCCGAAACCTTATTATCACAATTCTCTAGCTGTGATTCAAAGTCAGCATAAATTACAAATGGACATTTTTGTTTATAAACGTAATTCCTAAACTCTACATAATCAAATTTAGGAAATGATATTTTACATTTATTTTTATTTTGGCAAAGTTTTTCACGTTCATCCAGCCTCTCTTGACTAGAAAAATAATTTAGGCATCTGTCGCATAAGAATTTTTTATTATGATTTTTACTGAGTTGACTTGAAATTAATCTCGACAAATTTTTTATCCAAACATAATGAAATTTGATTTCGATATTTTCATTATCAACAGATGGCGCTTCGTAATCATTGAGTTTCGGAAAATACTGATCTTGTATTAATAATAAATTGACATGACGTTCCATTTTATTTTTAGTTAAAAGAGCAGGTACTATTACATAAAATGAACTCTCGTTTAATTCTAACGTATAAATGTTAACCGAAATTTGGTTAAATTTCTCAAATTTTGAAATTTGATTTAATTTAACTGGAATTTCCAACCCCTGTATATTTAGAACGGTGCTATAATGAGGATACGAATTCGTGCGTGATACGTTTCCTGTAGGAGGATATAAAGCGCTTACAATACTCCAAAAGAAACAACTTTGGTCTCTATTTTGAACGTTTATGCAAGCCTGTTTTTTTAAAATTTGATTAGGTAATTTAATGAAAGACGTGCCGTTACCCACTTCATACTTATTTATTGCTACTTCTAGTAAAACAATTTTACTGATGGCCCACCCGCTATTCTTTTCAGAAAATTCTGATAATTTATTTAGAACTATATCAACTACTTTATTATTAAACCAATCAGTTAAGTCCGTCCCTGCATCCACAACTGCATTAGGAGTAATAAAATACTTTCGATCTATTAATTCCTGATCACCTGACTGCTTTATAAAATCCCCCCAAAAAGTTGTATTAATTTTAAGCATTGACATTGTTTTTAAAATGTTCCTCACTCTAATTTTGAATAAATGAAATGTATCCTTTAAAAAATTTTTAATTTCTTTATGTTTTAAATTTATTATAATTCCTGTTCTAATTCTGCCTTTGAAAATAGCATTCACATCGATCCATTTGACTCGACTACCCCGTTTTAATCTCAAACCCACCATGTTCAAAATTAATTTTAACATGCACATCATTCTTTTTAATTCGGCAATTTTGATGTGCATTTTACGCTTTAACCCTATAGAAAATTTAGTTTTTTTTAAAGCAAGTACACATTGTCTAATATGTCGATTAATTAATTTTAGTGAGACATTAGCAAGATGTTTAGAATAATTTTGTTCTATACTCTTAAGAACTTCATTAACTTTATTGACTGATTCTGACATTATAAGTATCACTTTTATAATTAAAAAAATAACTTACTGTTTTTCCACTTGTTTTTATGTTTCTAAGTTTCTTAGTTTTTTCTACGTCTGCTGTCCTCCTTCTGAAGATTGATTATTTTCTACTATTAGAAACGATAGTGCGGGATTCGTTTTTCCGACATCCACTGTCCCCTTGAAAATAATTGAATATTTTTCTGGGCTAAAATGTCGAAGGTTCGGGCGGTATGACTCTGTAACCCTTTGAGGTAGGAACGTGACACTCTCCTCTAGTTCCAGTAGAACCGCATCTCCAAATCTTCCCTTTGTTATTTTAGCTCCAAAAATTTTTTGCGGAAGATTTAGGGGTAGATCACTCAGTTTCACTACTTGCTTATTTTCCTTCATAAAAGAAACTTTGTTTAAAAAAATTACATCCATCTATAAACAAAAAATAAGTCTAGTCAATTGATGTGTTAAAATATTATGTTGTTAATTACGAAATTTAAAAATGAAATCAAATTTTTAAAAAATACTTTTTACTTTTACAAAATTAAAATGTGCTTACTTTAATTATGATGATGGTTCGTTCACTACTACTATAGAAATTTTATACGTGAGAAATTTACGATGTTACTATACTCTGTTTTTAAACTAAGAAGAGCGATTTGAATATAAGTTGGCAATTCTGTAGCTTTCTGATTGGTCAGATTACAGTCAGTTTCACACATTACTTTTTAGCATGAACATCAGCTAATAATTGATATTGTTGACAGTTCTGACATTTTATAATTTGATATCTCATCCATTACTTAGTTTTTTACTTTATTTCGTAAATAATAGTTCTTCAGTAAGCAATTGTATTGAAAATCTACAATTATGGATCCTTCTACACTGAGTACTATTAAAGGTAGCAATTCCTGAAAAGCCTTACAAGAAAGGGAAGACACCTTATTATTTTACATGCTGATTCTGAAGGTTTTGTAGAAAATGCATTATTGTTTTTCGAAGGTAAAAAGATGGGAGATTACCATGAAGAGATAAATTCCGAAGTATTTTAGAAAAAAATAATTTTATTACTGATTTTTTAAAAGTAAAAATTGATAAATTTCTAACCAAAATGATTAAAATGTAACTAAATATTCGAGCAAATTTTATTTATTAGAATAGAATAAAACTATTTACAAAATTGTTATAACATTTAAAACACCATCTACTACTTTAGGGACAATCTTAATTTGGCACAATGAGTTAACATTACTTTGACAAAAAATATTTTAAAAATACTTAAAATTAATACATAGGTATGTGTGAATAGTTCACTTTAAAAAATATATGTTGACATGTAGTGTTATGAAAATGTTGGTTCCAGTTTTCAAAAGAAATTCTGACTCATAGGCCTGTAAACTTTTGAATGCCTTTAGTTGCCCTCTAGCGCATTAACCATGGGTTAACACTAAATAAGCCATAATATCCACATTACTCATAGAAGAGATACCAGTTACTGTGTGATCCACTTGTCATTCACTGATTAACTTTTACTTTTTATACCTATAACAAATATATCCTTAAAAATGTAAACAGATCTTTATATTTTATACTAACCTGGCTACATCTGGATATCCCATTAACAATTTTCTCAAATATTTAATATCCATTTTAAAAAGCTCATAGTTATTCTCAAAAAGTCGATTTCAAAAGCAAGAAAAAAGTATTTCTGACATCAATCAACAACCATATTGACTTTAATTTGACAGTGACATTTCGTTTTAGACACACATTTCAGATCACAATAATGTGAAATTTGAGACCGTTGTCTGGGACCAATTAAAAAATTACTTCTATGACATTTATTCGTTTATTAACCGCTCATTGGCCGTTCACCGACTAAGGCCGATAAAGATAATTATTTCATAAATTTTGAACACAAATATATTTCGAAACTCGCTCTTAGTAACAAATCTAGTTACTTTTCCCTGTGTAAATGCGTCTTTTCAATTCGCTCCTCCTAGTTTAAAAACAGAGTATAGAGCACTGTTTAATACATGTAATGTTGATACTTTGAAAACTAAGCTTTTTATATTATTTCCATATTTATGTTAATCGTTTTAGAATGTTGAATAATTAAATAAAATTCAATGTTGTGATTATTAAGATATGATAAAAATTTCCTTTAATTTCTTATAATAATTGTAAAGTAATAACTAAACTTTCCTTTTTTTTCGGTTTTTGTTTACTCATTAAAATACTATGAAACTTTCCTTCTTATTTTCTCTAATTGCTATTTATTTACCCATTAAGATACTATGAAAAATTTCTATTCGTTTTCTCTAATTATTATCAATGTCGTTAAATATCGTTTCTATTCAAATAATTTAAATATTAACAAAGATATAAATCAACACTCTAAATTATAGCTAAATGACGTTGAATGTAGATACCTTAGCCAAGTCGCAAACCACCTATCCAAGTTTCAATTCTCAACACTGACAGGCGGCGCCATTTTGCGGCGACTTTTGAACTACCGTCCCCGTACGAACGTTGTTTCGCTTAGCCAAGTCGCAAACCACCTATCCAAGTTTCAATTCTCAACACTGGCCGGTGGCGCCATCTTGCGGCGACTTTTGAACTAATGTCCCCGTACGAACGTTGTTCATCTACTAGCGTTATTAGGAACCATATTTTCTGAGTTAATACGTTGACTGCCATGCATACCCAACTTTTCCCATCGCGCCATGTGCATACATATTATTCACAAGCAGCGCTTAATTTGAACCGTGCATTTATTATGGGGAATCTATTGAATAGGCGTGGAATAAACATTTTGGAACGCGCGACAGACGACATACGACAGCAGAAGCGACGGCAAAGAAGACCAAGAACGGTCTCCTCACGTCTGAACACATGCAATTACATGAAACACATTTCGCAAGGCGTGAACAGTGCGAGATACAGAAGTCGACGACAGGTAGATCGGTCTCGGGGTAGAGCGTTTGCTTCCTGTCGCACTCAGTCCTCAGTCATCGCTTGTATTTCGAAGTGATTAGTCGATATTTTATAGAAATGGTAGTTGCAAAGTTCTTTCGATCTAGGCAGTGTTTCCAGACGAAAATTTGGTAGAACAGTATGGATAAAAAAAAAACAGTGGATCTACTTAAAAACAGTAGGTCTGGCAACGCTGATCGTTCCCTCGAATGGTTGTTTGTGGTTGTCGCGTCGTCTGTCTCCTTGCTTCCCAAATGTGTGAAGCGTAACGTAAATGCATCGGTTTCCTTTGCCGTCGCTTCTGTTGTCGTCTGTCGTGTCGCGCGTTCCTAATGGTACCTTAAAGATATAATTTCGGAACGCGGGACAGACGACATACGACAGCAGACGCGACGGTAGAAGAGACGGCAAAGGAGACCAAGAACGGTCTCTTCGCGTCTGAACACGTCGCTAAAGAATGAGGCAAACTTAATAAATTAAGTTGCAATGAATTAAACTCAAAGCCAATATCACATAAAATACCAACGACCGTTTAATTTATTTTCGTATTCAATAAATTAAGAACAAAATTTGTTAAGTTGGTGAAAACAGTAGATTTCATGCCTAAAACAGGAGAACAGAGACAAAAACAGTGGATCTACTTAAAAACAGTAGGTCTGGCAACGCTGATCGTTCCCTCGAATGGTTGTTTGTGGTTGTCGCGTCGTCTGTCTCTTGCTTCCCAAATGTGTGAAGCGTAACGTAAATGCATCTGTCTCCTTTGCTGTCGCGTGTGTTGTCGTCTGTCGCGCCTTCTGAAATGGTACCTTAACAGTTATTGTTTAACTGCACAGTGTTGCCATGTCAATTTGATATCCAAACTGGATCGGATAAATAATAAATAAAATTATTACGCCATTTTTTGAACAAAAGAACTATTAAATTTGGAATACTGCTCCATCTGTTAAACAAACGGATTCTTAAATATGACAAATAAATATTTAAGCCTATTTATCAAAAAATATTTGGTCCCTTTTAAATCTGTTCATGAAAGATTATATGATCCCTTATCTCTTTTGTCTCATGTAAAAATATTTCTTTTCTTTGTCCCTTAGACCTGAAAATATATGCACCCCTTGCCCCTTAAGCCTACCTACGTATAAAAATTTAAAATGTTTTCAAAAAAGAGGCAATAAATATCTTTCTACATTTTGGTAATTTATTAACACCAATTCCCAAAGGAAGTCCATTTACCGTTCTGATAGTTTCAAAATAGTAGTGAGATTTTCTGCATATTTTTTTAAAATTATCGGTAATTATACATGTTCGAGTTATTTTTGTCTTGGTTTTGAGTAAATTTACCCGACAAGCGTCCATTATTCCCATTATTAAAGACCTTAAAAAATAAATACCTAATTATAATATAAAAAGAAAAACCTTATTCAATAGAATTTTTTCGTCTGATGCTTACTAAAAAAGTTGATCTAAGGTCTTGTAAATAACTAATTTTCATGCAATACATCTCATTAGCCCGACAAGCACCCATTATTAAAGCAACTTAAAACAATAAATAACTAATTGTATTAATATAAACATTAACCAATAATAGCCTACCTTTGCTGCAAGGTATTTGTCGTATAGTACTGCCTTTTTTGGTTTAATCTTAAATACCTTCACTTTTTCGCTTTAATAACGTTGGTAGTTTCGTATAATGGAATAATAATGTTGAGGATTTATTTGTCGATAGTTCTGTAAAATACACCAATATAACAGATTCCGAATACGATTTTATGTTTTTTTCTTTGACTAATTTAAGGGAGATTCAACGCCGTCACATACAATTTTTTTGGTTTTCTGACAATACATTCCGTGACGCAATTTCAGCAGCCTCTTTTACT